AGGTTATCTGCGCTAGCTGTCTCTAATTTAGCAGTGATAGATTACAGGGAAAGCAGATAGTCAACACCACCCACCGCCAATTCTTGAGCTACTCTTTTATCAACGAATAGTGGGATTTGGCGTCACATTATAATGCCACCACGGCTGAAAGTGTGAACATGTTCGGTGACAGAGATTCGAACCCGCGACCAAGCCATGCTCCACTAATCTGTGTTTGTCATTGAAAATATTCAATATGCATTTAGCTATTGTTTATAAAGAATTTTAATAACACAGATATATATTAAATGATATACTCAAAACACGTGAAAGTTATGTACAAAAAATTCTTTACACTATTGAATATCACAGTTGTATCTAGAACTCCAAATAATAACTCCACGCAGGCTGATTCAATTACTTTAGAATCCAATTGAGAAGACGAATTATTTTTCTCTACTCTGTTTCTTATTGCACAATCTGCACAGATTCACTTAAATTACCCCGTGGGTTACCACAATTGTATCAAGAACTTCAAACAATTGTGTCCTTTTCGTAAAAGTCCACATAGGCGGGTTCACTTACTTTAGAACACCCTTTGGCAAGACAAATTATTCTCCTTATCTGTATTAATCTGTGAAACCCACTTTAAAATATCGACCGTTATGGCAAAACTAACAATCACGCAGTCTAACTTAACTTATCTTCTTTTGTTGGTTACCACAGTTGTATCCAGAGCTTTAAATAATTGTCTCTTTTTTCGTTAAAAGCCCATGCAGGCTGGTTCAGTCACTTTAGAACCTATTTGACAAGACAAATTATTTTTCCTATCTCTGTTGTTACAATACAGCTGTGAAACACACAAGAGAAATCACCCGTTAAGACTAATCACTCACACGTCGGCTAACTTTACGTTTTCTTTCACTAACTACCGTTTTTCTTGGCTGAACTTGACTTGCGCTCACTTGATCGCCTATATATATATATACAAGGCCTAATGAGGCCACGAACTTTCTACAAACTACGAGACGATATGATGTAACAATACTCACTTAAGGCAACGAGAAAAATACCGAAGATTCGAGTAACGTGACGTCAACAATATTACTAAAGCCTAGTACAACAATCAAACTGCATACACAACATACACTAGTACCGAGTTATGTAATGAAACTTGTCACAACTATCACTTTCAAAATAATTAACTTTTATCACTCATTAAATACTAAGTCACAAAATAAACTAAACAATAACTCTTATACTAAACAGTCTTGTATATCCAACAACGACAAATCAATAATTAAGACCAAGGAGCTTTACAAACAAGTCAATGATAAAGTGGTAGAGAAGCACAGATCAGGAGGTTACAAAAAACTTCAAAGTTGCTGATTATCCCTTTGAGTACACTGAAGCCCATTATTAAGAAATGGAATGTGTTTTATGCTACCTAGTCACAACCTAAATCAAGCCGCCCTTCCAAACTAAGCAACCGGGCAAGCAGGAAATTGTGATGCCACTGTGAAGCCAACAGTGACGTTAAAAGATTTGCAAAGTTCCATGTCTGAGATGGGAGTCAGTGTTCATACATTGACAATATCCCAGTCCCTACACAAAGGTGGCCTGTATGGGCGAATGGCAAGAAAGAAGCCATTATTGAAAAAGAATCATTTTAAATCTCGTATGGAGTTTACGACAAAGCATGTAAATGATACTGTAGACATGTGGCAGAAGGTTTTGTGGTCAAACGAGACAAAAAATTTGTATTTTCGGTCTAGTATTATGTCTGGCGCAAGTCCAACACAGCACATCACTCAGTCAACACTATCCCAACTGTCAAGCATGGTAGTAGCAGCATCATGTTATGGGGATGCTTTTCATCAGCAGGGACTGGGAAGTTTGTTAGGATTGAGGGGAATATGGATGGTGTAAAATAAAGGCGAATCCTAGAGGAAAACCTGCTTGAGTCAGCCAAGAATCTAAAATTGGGTCGAAAATTCACATTTCAGCAGGGCAATGACCCAAAGAACAAGGCCAAAGTCGCACTGGAGAAACTGAATATCCTGGAGTGGCCCAGTCAAAGTCTTGACATGAATTCAATACAAATTTATGGAGAGACTTGAAGACTGCAGTCCATCAATGATCTCCAACAAGTTTGTCAGAATTGAAGCAATTTTGCCAGGAAGAATGGGCAAAAATTACACCATTTCATTGTGTGTAAAGCTGGTAGAGACCTATCCAAAAAAGATTCACAGCAGTAATTACTGCCAAAGGTGCTTCCATCAAGTACTGACTTAGGGGGGCTGAATACTAATGCAATCATCAAATTTCACTTTATATATTTTCATTGCAGGTTTTGCTGACATTCAACCTCCTTCACACATAAAATTGTTAAGTTTGATCATTACAAGTTCATTAAAAAAATTGTTTATACTATTTGTATTTCATCAGAATGTGACATTATTGGTAGTGGTGAATACTTTTGCAAGGCACTGTAATAGAAAAATCCCGTTCATATACAAAAACCGTTAAACTTCTGTTTTGGTTGTTGTTTTTCAGTAGGATCTCAAATGTATAAAATTCATTTGAATATTTCACACACCTGCTTAAAACTAAGTGTTCAATAACCCATTTGTGTAGTATGTAGAATTACAGAATTATTGAGAACTAAATTTGAACTTTATCATAAACTAAAATAGTAATTACATTATAGTGTTTGCGACTAGTGAAATTTTCATATAAGTTTATAACTTATAAAATGAACAGAATGGTAAGACTATTGTTTATTTAATAACAAAACCTTAGACGCACATTTATAAAGACATTTTATTTTGTACTGTCATTTTTACTATCTATAACTTGGATCTCCAACTCGAAAGTGTTGTGGAGAAGTTTTAAAATAAAACAAGTAAAACAACATTGACACTTGTTGCTGCTTTTAGCCTACACAGACTTAATACTGTAAACTTGATCAACCTTATTAAATTTTGATGCAAGAATAACTTATGACGAAAAATGTATCCTAAAAATTTTAAATCTTTTGTGATCTTTAAACATTTCTTCACGCATAATAATTTCTTTAACACAAATTTTACTATATCAGCTACTACATCAACACAACAAAGGTACTTACAGAGTGCTGAACTCCAGTATAATGTGATACAAATAAACTAGAGTTCCTTAAATACAAAGCTGCAAACATTAACTGTTTCAAGCCTTTAAACACCTTACTGAAAAATAGACAGTACTTGTATTAAAATTTTGTAAAGTAGGTTCATAATAATAATAATAATCAACAAGCTATGATATACTCTTACCTAGAATCATTCTAGTATTTGGTAGCGACCAATGAATTTTCTTTTTTTCGTACATTCAAAGTTACTGTATAGTACGTACAAATAATACACAACTTGAAGTGTTTTTGTGCTAAGGAGATGAACAGTTACAACTAATCAAGCATATACTATATTTAATATGTCAACATTTAGAAGCTTTTGAATACAAAACTCAGATTGCAATTAACCCAATGTCTGACAAATGTCATTACTTGTTAGATTTGATCAATTATTTTTTGTTAACACCAAAACAAGTAACTTGGGGTCATCTTTTAATATAACATCATATAACAAACAGATGCTAACTGCCTTCTATGTCCATTCAGAATTTCTTTTCTACCAAAGTAATAAAAAACATACATAACAGGTCACAACATTTCCAGAGAATGCACAGGGGCAGTAAATGTTTATGACAAAATAATGCTTCATTAATATATATTAAAAGTAAAATTTACTCATTGAAAAGCTGAAATGTATTTTGTAAACAAAAAACACACACTCAGATATGAAACTTACAATACAAAGCGACAGGTATGTGGCATTTCATACACAACAATTTTCTTGAAACTATATCTTTAAAATTTCTGGTTTGAAAAGAAATGAAGTGACCATAAAAACCTTAAACAAATTTTTTTACACATTTTGTCATTAAATTCAACATATGACAGAAAAGTATTTTTATATATTTATTATTGTTGTTTTTTACCATTTTCACTCTCAAGGATTGAAAAATTAAAGACTTAATTTGGTCTTGTCATAAAATCAAAAGAAAAAGAAGATATATTTAGGTTTTTTAACTTATAAACTTTGAATAAAATGATAATTATAAACAAAATAAAACTAATTTTTGTCAATAATGTTCTCAAATACTAACACTAAATATTTTGGCTTTAGAATTCAATTATGTTGCCAACTGCAATAATTTTTTTATTACCTATTTACTAAAGCAGTAACATAACCATGTTTCACATAAACCTACC